AGACAAAGGGCACACGACTTAAGTTTAGAAATAAAAAAAGGAAAATTTGTCACATTGTGTAACTCAGAATGGCCAACGTTCAACGTAGGATGGCCAGCTGAAGGTACATTTAATCTTCAGATTATTTTAAAGGTGAAAGAAGTTGTGTTCTGGTCCAGCGGGGGACACTCTGATCGGGGTCATATATTATCACATGGCAGGACTTAGTGGAAAACCCACCTCCTTGGTTAAAGCCGTTGTTGCCTCTTTCTCTTCCTAAGCAGGCACCTAAACTGGTCCTGGCAGTGAAACCTTATGCTGCCTGGAAGAAAGAACCTGAAGTCAAACCTTCGGCACCGACCTACCCAGTCTTTCAGGGTGGGACGGAGGAAGACCTCCCCCCCCCCACCAAACCCTTTCAGCAGGTATTGCAGCTGGAGAGGGTGTATTGCCCCAAGTGCCGGACGGTGGTTGGGCAATGGCAGCCACAGGTCCGGCAGCCGGCACACAGGGAAGAATGCAGCGTGCAGCCCCCTCTAGTGGACCAGCAGATTCCACGGTCTTGATGTTGCCAGCCACAGGGCCCACAGACGCAGCCGGCAACCAGCAGCTTCACCTTCACTATTGGCCTTTTGCCACTAGTGACCTGTACAATTGGAAAACTCAGAATGCTAAATTTTCAGACAATCCCAGAGATTTAACTGACCTCCTAGAGACTATTTTGTTTACTCACCAGCCTATCTGGGACGATTGTCAACAGCTCCTCCAAATTTTATTCACTACTGAGGAACGTGAGAGAATCCAGATGGAAGCCCAGAAATCTGTCTTGGGGGATAACGGGCAGCCCACTACTAATATAGATGTGATTAATGCTACCTTCCCTCTGACCCGTCCTAACTGGGACTACAACACGGCTGAAGGTAAGGAGAGACTCCGGGTGTACCACCAGACTCTAATGGGAGGTCTCAGGGCAGCCGCAAGGAAGCCCACCAATTTGGCTAAGGTAGGTGATGTACAGCAAGGGAGGGATGAAAGTCCGGCTGCTTTCTTAGAAAGATTAATGGACACATTTCGTCAATATACCCCCATGAATCCAGAAGCACCTGAAACTAAGGCCACACTAATCATGGCCTTCGTAAATCAAGCAGCCACAGACATTAGGAGAAAATTACAGAAAATTGACAGACTAAATGAAAAAAGTATTCAGGATTTAATGTTAGTTGCAGAGAGAGTTTATAACCATAGGGAAAGTCCAGAGGACCGACAGGCCAAGGCACTAGCGGCAGCCAGTGACCGGAACACCCGGAACCTTGCAAAAATCTTGCTCGCCTCAACAACCGGAAGTGCCAAAGAGAGAGAACAGCAACTACAAAAAATTGCAAAATACAAAGGTAAGGGGGATCCCCTCAAGGGAGGATGCCCTAAACTGAGCAAGGATCAGTGCGCCTATTGCAAGAAAAGTGGACAATGGGCAAAGGAGTACCCAAATAAAAAGACTCCTAAACCACAGACTAAGGTACTAGAATTGGGAGAACTCAGTGATTAGGGGCAACAGGGTTTGGTCCCCCTTCCCGAGCCCAGGGTAACCCTAAGAGTGGAGGGGACTCCAATTGATTTCCTGGTAGACACCAGGGCGCAACATTCAATCTTACTTAAACCTCAAGGGAAATTGTCTAATAAAACCTCCTGGGTTCAAGGAGCCACAGGAACAAAACAATATTCATGGACTACCCGAAGAACAGTAGATCTCGGTGTGGGACGAGTATCCCACTTGTTCATGGTAATTCCAGAGTGCCCTTATCCACTTCTCGGGAGAGATAAACTGACCAAAATAGGGGCACAAATCCACTTTCAAAAAGGAGGGGCAACCGTTATGGACAGTAAGGGCCAGCCTATTCACGTGTTAACTGTGAATCTGGAAGATGAATATAGGCTCCACCAGCAACCCCCTCCTCCCCCGTCTGAAGACATAAAACAGTGGCTATTAGCTTTTCCCAAAGCATGGGCTGAAACTGGAGGTGTAGGGTTAGCAAAACCTAGACCACCAATTTATGTACAAACTAAACCTGGAACGGACCCAGTCAGAGTCTGACAGTACCCTATGTCACGAGAAGCCCGAGAAGGTATAACTCCTCACATCCGGTGCCTATTAAAACTAGGAATACTCCGACCCTGTCAGTCTGCGTGGAACACTCCTCTACTCCCTGTTCGGAAACCTCACTCCAATGACTACAGACCGGTGCAAGACCTCCGAGAGGTCAATAAACGGGTCATAGACATTCATCCTACTGTTCCTAACCCATACGCCCTCCTTAGTTCTTTACCCCCGGATCACCAGTGGTACTCAGTCTTAGACCTTAAAGACACTTTTTTCAGCCTACCACTGGCCCCAAAAAGCCAGGACCTGTTTGCCTTTGAATGGACTGACCCGACAGAAGGCATTAGCGGACAACTGACCTGGACTAGGTTACCGCAAGGGCTCAAAATTTCACCCACGATCTTCGATGAAGCGCTGCACGAAGACCTGGGTAAGTTCCAATTCCACCACCCCGGTCTCACACTATTACAATATGTAGATGATCTCCTAGTTGCTGCAGCAGACTACGAGACCAGCCTCCAAGGAACCAGAGACCTGCTCCAAACACTAGGAGATGGGGTACCGAGCCTCAGCCAAAAAGGTTCAACTTTGCCAGTCCGAGGTGAGCTATTTGGGGTACATATTAAAAGAAGGACAAAGATGACTGACTAGGGCCAGCAAAGAGACTGTGCTAAAAATCCCTAGACCCAGCACCCCACATGGAGTGCGGGAATTCCTAGGATCAGCTGGCTACCTTAGACTTTGGATACCAGGTTTTGCAGAACTAGCAAAGCGTCTCTATGAAGCAACTAAGGAGGGGCAGAAATTTCACTGGACAGAAGCCATGGAAAAATCCTTTAATTTACTTAAAACTGCCCTTCTGTCCGCTCCTGCCCTCGGACTACCTGATGTAACAAAACCCTTCCATCTATACGTTGATGAAAATAAAGGGGTAGCGAAAAGTGTTGTAATCCAGCACCTAGGCCCCTGGAAAAGACCAGTGGCCTATCTCTCAAAAAAAATTAGACCTAGTAGCAGCAGGGTGGCCCCTGTGCTTGCGCATAATAGCAGCAACAGCCTTATTAGTCAAAGACGCGAATAAACTTACACTAGGGCAAGAGCTATATGTTATCACCCTGCATGCCATAGAAGGGACTCTTCAACAACTTCCCGATCAATGGCTCAGCAATGCGTGGCTCACCCACTACCAAGGACTGTTACTGAACCCAACCAAGATTATCTTTCAGTCACCTACGGCACTGAACCCTGCCACCCTGTTACCGGATCCGGATTTGAGTGCTGCGCTCCATGATTGTGTCGACATTCTAGCTCAAGCGCACGGAATCCAAGCTGACCTACAAGACACCCCTTTACCAGATGCCGATGTTACCCGGTATATGGATGGGAGCAGCTTTGTGCGTGATGGACAAATGTATGCGGGGGCAGCAGTGGTGATGGAAACTACAAAAATTGGGCTGAGCCGTTATCGGCCGGAACATCAGCCCAACGAGCTGAACTAATAGCATTAATCAAAGCCCTAACTTTAGGAAAAGACAAAAAATTAAATGTTTATACGGACAGTCATTATGCTTTCACCACGGCGCATATTCACGGGGCAATTTATCGAGAAAGGGGGCTACTAACCGCAGAAGGGAAGACAATTAAGAACAAAAACGAGACCCTAGATCTACTAGCTGCCCTGTGGCTCCCAAAGAAACTTGCCATCATTCATTGTCCGGGGCACCAGAAGATCACCACCCCAATTACCCGAGGCAACAATCTAGTGGACCAAACCGCCTGAGAGATTGCGCTGTCTACCAATCTGGTATTGACTTCCAAGCTACCTGATCCTGGGAGTCCCACCTTACCTGCAAACCCCAACTACACGGAGGAAGACGTGGAATGAATTAAACAATTACCCGGAACTCAGTACGTATGCAATTGGTACAAATCAGCAGATCACAAAGCCATCCTCCCCTAAAAACTGGGAGAAAAAATTTTATTCAAAATGCACCACACCACCCATCTAGGAACCAAAAAGATGCAGGAGTTATTAAAATGGGCAGACGTAATAATTAAAAATGCTCAATCTAAAATTGAAACAATTGTTTCTGACTGTAAAGCCTGTCAATTAACCAATGTTACTAAAAACCCTTCGAATCTAGGCTCCAGATCAAGAGGCAACACACCAGGGACTTGCTGGGAAGTGGACTACATGGAGGTAAAACCAGGAAAATATGGATATAAATATTTGTTAGTCTTTGTAGATACCTTTTTTAGGGTGGGTAGAAGCCTTCCCCACCAAGCGAGAGACAGCTCATGTTGTAACCAAGAAACTGTTAGAAGACATCCTACCCAGGTATGGTTTTCCTACTATGATAGGGTCAGATAATGGACCAGCATTTGTGTCTAAAGTAATACAGGGATTAGCAACTCTTCTTGGGGCTAATTGGAAATTACATTGTGCTTACAGACCCCAAAGTTCAGGCCAGGTAGAAAAAATGAACAGAACTCTAAAAGAGACCTTAACCAAATTAACCATAGAGACTGGCGGAGACTGGGTGACTCTCCTCCCCTTCACCCTATTTCAGGTCTGTAACTCTCCTTATAAATTAGGATTGACGCCTTTTGAAATTGTTTTTGGTAGACCCCCGCCTATTGTTCCCAGGTTACAGTCCGATTTGTTACTTGAAATTGATAATCATGAACTCATTTATTCCCTTCAAGCCCTGCAACAAGTCCAACGGGACATCTGGCCAAACCTTAGAACTCTTTACCAATCTAATTCCCCTCCCGAACCTCACCAGTTACCAACTCGGTGATTGGGTGTACCTGCGGAGACATCGACAAGAAACTCTACAACCTCGCTGGAGAGGACCTTACATCGTGATCTTGACTACGCCCACCGCCCTCAAAGTCGACGGAATAGCCTCCTGGATTCATCATACCCACGCCCGCAGAGCCGACCCAGTCCCGGACCAAGAATGGCACGTCTCCAAGGACCCCAACAATCCACTCAAACTAAAAATTCAGCAATGTGGACCTCACTAGTAGTACTGTTACTAACCAGTAACTATGTAAACCCCTCCTCTAGCCCACACACACCCCAGCGACTGACCTGGACAATTACGTCAGCCACAGGGGACGGTATCAGCTCTATTATGGGAAACCACCCCCCCAATACCTGGTGGCCTGACCTACATGTTGATCTGTGCCAATTGGCAGCTGGATCCTGGGATATCTTAGATTGGGAACCCAACAAAAACGGTACCCCTGAATGTTCAG